CAATTTCTGAAGCTCATCAGGGATTGAATTGCGAGAACCAAACATATGTTGCAACAACAGTGGCATCAGAGACCTCAAGATCAGCTCTGATTCCTTCACCATCTATCTCACTTGCAGGCATCTTCAGAAAAACTGAAAAGAAAATATTATCATGAAAATTCTTTCAGAAGAAAACACCAAATAAACAACAATAAAGGATCAAAGAATACAAATATCTATGAATATGATTGGTCAGATCCTTAAGTAATCGAACAGTGAAAGGCATTTACAATGAAGTAAGCAGCCAAGCTGACGTCAATGATTGAACCATGAGCTTCGACTCTGAAATCATGCATGGGAAATTTTTTTCTCAAGTCTGCAAGTACACATACAACAGAAATATTGCATCAAAAGAATCTGAACTACAGCAGCTTGCCTATTTAATACGATGACAGATAAAGAAAATCCCTAAACTCCGAGGATAAAGAGTCCATTAAGGAGCCCAAGAAATGAACCCTCCCCTCCTCACCCTCTCTCCTTTCAAATCATCAAAGACCCTCATATCCCTATCCACCAAACAGCCTAGTAAATTGTCATTACATCAAATCTTCCCAAAACCATAGCCCTCATCTTTCCTCCAAAGAGTTTAAGCTTCACACACAACAATGCATTACACGACGCAGGGTTAAACCAGCTGAATCTTACCTCCTGAACTGGCTGCAAACATACAGTTAAAGCTACTAGGCAGTGAAGCAGCAGATGGACCAGAGAGATAGGGCAAAGGAAAGTCGCCTCCTTTGAACCATGTGATTGGTATAAATTCCTCCGTTGTTGAAGAAGAAATCAATCTTTGTGACCAGAATTACAAGAGCATAACATATCTACACAAGCTTCAAGCTGGTAACAGAATAACCAATGGGGAAGGAAGTACGGATGTGAATTTGTGCCATGCCACCTATGTGAAAAAGTGTCAATGAAAACCAATTTTTTTCATAATAAACAAAACAGGGGAAAGACAAATGAGAAGGATAGAAGAAAAAAAAAAATTACAATTTACAAAACAGGGGACAAGTTAACTTTTATCTTACAACTTTAAGCTCACAGGTTATCCATAGAAATTGATCACAATCTAAACTAGCTCAAATGAGACTCAAACACATTCTTATTATGGAAGGAGTACCTAAAAATGTTGTGCATTCGATGCCTGCATGTAGGAATGTGTCGCTTGAGATATTCCAGGTAAACCTTTCCGTTTCTCCTCATTGTGACAATTGTTTTGTAGAAAAACAGAGAGCTATATACAGTGTTAAATTCTCCTCCGGAAACGACCTTACATACGAAAATCTCTCGAAGAGAAGATATGCTGTCCTGCAAAAAGACAGATAGTTACTCAGCATTTGAAATTTAAATAGGATATAAGTTGCGATCAGAAAAACAACCCCAATCAGATTGAGTTTTTGTCTAAAGCACAAATTGTTCTTCTTCAAAATGAGTTTGATCAGAAAAAAGCATGAGACCAGTAAACAGGAGAGCCAAGGTAATTGACAAAAAACGTTAATTGGATTACATACCTGAGTGTGATCTGAGTTTGCTCATATCATATCATATGATGATGACTTGATCATTTATCCTGATGCAAGGAATGTGAGATATCTTGGCCCAATCTTTCCCTGTCTTATTCTGATACCTTTTCTCCAGAGCAGAACAATTGTAGATGTGAAGTAAAGAAAGAGATGGCGGCAAACCCTCTTCTGGCAAGAATTGGATACTGTCACACTCACTAATAACTAGCTCTTGAAGAGAAGTGAGGTGTTGAAGTCCCTCTCCTGGCAGGAATTGGAGGTTGTCACACTCGTCAATTTGCAGCGTTTGGAGAGAAGTGAGGTGTTGAAGTCCCTCTCCTTCTCCTGGCAGGACTTGGATACTGCGACACGCACTAATAATTAGATAGCGAGGAGTGGTAGGGAGCAGGTGTTCCTTGAGCAACGTTTCCAAGATACTTCCACCAATTATAAAATATTTAAGGGAGACAAGTCCTTCCATTCGCCAGTAATTTACCACTGAAGCCCTCAGTCTCTCACAACTACGAGTGCACAAATCTTGGATGTTGGGAGGCAAACCCCCTTCTGCAAATGACTCCAGATTTGGAAGATCATCAACCTGCAACACTCGAAGGGCTGTGAGGGTGTGAATGCCTTCGGGCAATGACTTTAAATTCTTGCATTCGCCGACTGTAAATTCATTCAAGTTGGGAGTGGTCCATCCTCCCTGACATTGAAAACACATCAAATTTGGACAACCACCGATATACAATTCTCTGAGATGACTGAGATTCTCATTAACTCCTCCTTCTTCAATGAAGGAAAGGGATTCCAGATTCTCACAACCCCTAATGTCAAGCTTCTTCAATTTGGGAAAAATGCTCACCGAAAAGTTCCTCAGTGAATCACAGCTATTCTCTATCCACAAAGATTCGAGCGATGTTAATTTGGCCAACATCTCGTCAGGTAGGAATTCTAATCTCTTACAGTCCAGTATATAAAGTGCTGTCAACGTAGTGGGTAACCCATCTTTAGGGAATGAAGACAGCGTTGGACAATTCTGGAGAATCAAACGTTGAAGACAATTGTAATTGGGTAAGCATTGTATGTCAACGAAATTTCCAATTTCCACGAGTAATGATAACAGACCCTTTTGGCATCCACCTTCTATTTTCAACTCTTCAAGAGATCTGTATTTAAGACTACTGGTTGTTGTAGTAATGGCCCCTTCATCATGTAAAACCTCACACTCAGACACCGTAAGCTTCTTCAAGCAAGGCAGATGATAAGGCAAGCTTCTGCTCAGCTTCGGACAGTTGGTTAGATTCAGCTCTTGGAGACGAGGGAAATCTGGACCATATTCACCTCCACTTGCACTTCCACTTGGTACCCATTCCTCCCACTCTGGCATCTCCTTAAACTCCAACTTCTCCAGAGATTGAAATGGCGGAATGAGAGAAGCTCCATTTCTGCCATAGAACTCTACACCAATGGTCTTAACAAATTTCATGCTTTCTATACAGAGCTCTTTGAGACCGGGTAGCTGCCCAAATGCTGGCAGCAACCAACAATATTTACAATCACTGAGATGCATGACTTGTATGTTAGAGAAAGACGAGTCTCCTAACCAATTCGGGAAATTCGTTCCACCATAGAATCTGATGGTTAATTTCTCCAAATTCAAACAAGGCTGGAGCTTGTCAAGTACATCTTTCTCCTTTTGGGAATCATCAGCATCCTCTGCACCCCATGCCAACTCTAACTCCTTGAGATCTTTCTTGTCCTTCAAATTGGCTTGCAATGCATCCCTAGCATCAACTACATTTTGTAGCTTCAAAATTGCAAGTTTTCCTTGAAGCTGCGGGAACTCCCTCAGTTCTCCTTTGCTTGACCCAGCAGATCTGCCCACAACAAAAGCAGTCAATTGTCTCAAACTTTTCAGTCTTCCCATTTGCACCGGCATCTCTTCAATTTTAGTTCCACTGACATCAAGATGATGCAAATTAATCAACTCCCCTATTCCTGCAGGTAATTTAGTAAGAGAGCTACAACTTGCCAACGTTAATTTTTGCAAATTAATCAATTTTCTGATATTTGCAGGCAATTCAAGGAGAGAGGAACAATTTGACAATAGTAACGTCTGCAAGTTGTAGAGATTGCAAAGTACCCCAGGTAACCTTTCAATTGTGGTATGGGAAAGATCCAAGTAGCGCAATTGAATGAGGTTTCCAATAGAATCAGGTAACTCAGTGACATTTTGATAACGTGACAATGATAGCACCCGTAAACATCTTAGTGATGGCAGCAAATGTTGTAGAACCTTTTTACTTACATAAAATTCTTCACGATATTTATTTGTTTTTAAAGAGGTAGGTAGGAAGGTCCTCAAACACTTAGCCCCATATAATGGCTCAAATTTTTGAGCAACATCAAATTCTCCCCTAGCATATGACAAATGACGAGCTCTTTTAACTTCACGTGATTCCACCCCTTCCAGCCTAAGGCAAAACCCCCTAGAGATGAACATAGCCAAGTCATGAATGAGGTCATGCATTGTGAAACCGAATTCTCTTGACTTTTGAAACAGCGACCGGGATAATAGCTCATCAAAGTATTTTCTAGCCACAGATTCCATAATCTTCCCATTATCAGTTTGTGTAACTAAGCCTTCTGCCATCCATAATTGAACTACATCTTCCTTTTCAAACTCATAATCCTTTGGAAAAACTGAACAATAAACAAAACATCGTTTTAACTGAGCAGGGAGATACTGATAACTCAACCATAGAGCCGGAAGAATGTCAGTTGTACCATAGGGTAGGTACCAAATATTACTATTTAGTATTCTATTCCACTCCTCGGAATCTATATTGCAACGTAACAAACCCCCGAGTGTTTGTGCAGCTAAAGGCAACCCTTTGCACTTGAGTGCAATTTGCTTGCCAATGTCTTCCAAGTTTGAATTTGCACTATAGTTTTCATTTCCAAAAGCATGTTTAGCAAGTAACAACCAGCAGTCTTGATGTGACAATGGTTCCAAGAATTGAATGGGAACATTTTTCATTAAAGATGCTACATGTTTGTTCCGTGTTGTTACTATGACTTTGCTTCCCCTTGCCCCTGAATTAAAAGGAGTTTGGAGGCGCGACCAATCACCATAATTTTCATTCCATAGATCATCCAACACAAATAAAAATTTCTTTCCCCTCAACTGTTCTCTTAATTCAACTTGGAGCAAATTCAGATCTGTCGTCTGACAAGGCTCTGAAGTGATTGACTCAAGAATAGTTTTAGTTATTCTAACAGCATTATAGTCTTCTGAAACACAAGCCCAAGCTTGGAGTGTAAAATGCCCTTTGACCTTATTGTTGTTGTAAAGCATTCGCACACACAACAATGCATTACAGGACGCAGGGTTAAACCAGCTGAATTTTACCTCCTTAACCAGCTGCAACCATATACATAAAGCTACGCAATTAGTATAAATTCCTCCATTGTTGAGAAAGAAAGGGATTTTAAAATAGTATGAAATAAGTTGGCTCCCATCCGTAGTTTCTTATTCTGTGTGGCTGACTCCTTTAACAGTACAAAAACAATAAGAGAATAATTAATTACATAATACAATCAAAAAGATCCTTATTGGTTAATTTGTGGGTTTGATCCTCACCTTCCAGCTTGCATCGCAAAGCTTCAGTGTCGATCTCATCCAGTAAGTCCTCTGCATCAAAGACAGCATGCTTGAGCTCGTTAAGCCACTCTCTCACAGCAGGGTTCACAATTTGCTTCTCCTCTGCATCATTGAGCACCACGAACAAAGTCAACAGTGTCGTCTTCAAGTTCATGAGGAGTGGTTCGTCGAGTTTCTTCTGCCGAAATAAGTCGATGAACTCGGCTGAAGTAATTCTGTCACACAGCACCTCGATAGAAGCAGAGATGAGAGCCTCTCCGATCAAAGCTGCTGCCATTTTTCTCCGCTTTGCAAGGAATTTGGATGAAGTAATATTCCAAGGGTTGCAGAACTTGGAAATACAGGTTCGTAAGGAAGTATGAAAGCCTTTTGAGATTGTAAATAAAATGAACTGGTAATTAGCCTGTAAATAAGCTTTGAAAACTCTCTCACTTAGCAGGACTACTGTGCATTGTGCACTCACATCGTGGAACTGTGGCCACCGATGTTAATATGCAAAGTTGGATGCCAAAATATTGCGTACACTGGCTAAAATGGTGCAAGATGCTATCAACTTTTTTTTCTTTTTATTTTTGGTCGGACAAAGATGCTATCAACTATCACCAGCAAATTCGAATTTTGAATATTTACAGATGTCATTGTTTGATTGGGTTGGGATTCTTATCTAAGATGCTGACCTATCCCTGGGTAGTACATGGAAAGAAGGGCAGATGAAGATAGTTGCTAAGCATCCCTGCTCACTAAATAAAGCGTAAAATGAAAGGTGGAGAAGTTGCTAGCTGTAGAATCAACTTAGCAATAGCACAACAAAGCATAAAATGAAAAGGAAAAGAGAGAAAAAAAAAGGAGAGTGAACATATCAATTTGAGCTGAAACACTATTTTGAGTGAACAACGTTACATTGTGAATTTGTGAGTGTTTTTTTTTTTTTTTGTTGTTGGTGTTTTTGCGGCTTTATTGTTTTAGTCTCATTGACCAAATCTTTGGCATCAACATGTTATGTACTTCGTTCTTTCATCTTATAAATGTAACTATCTCCTTACCACATGCATTAGCGTGTGCCAATTGGATTTTTTTTTGTTCTTATTTTGTTATTTTATATTGTTAAAAACTGAGTTTATAACTTTTTAAATAAAATATATCCAAAATAGTGTAAAGTTTTGAAAGTCGTTATCTCTTAGTTTTATGAGCAACTTTTCTTGTGTTCTTTATTTATTTATTTCAATTTAAATAGATTGTGAATGTAATATTTTATCTTAATTAATGAATTGCATTCTCCTTTAACATTTTCATTAATTAACTACTAGCCTCTCAGCACGCGCTTCCGCGCCTGCAAGAGGTTTTTATTATTTATTTTTAAAAAATTTATTTTAGAATTAAAAAATATAATGGGTAGTTGTGTTCCATAAAAATAGGGGATTCATTATCTAATTTTTCTTTGGCTTAAATGTCAAAATGGTCCCTGTGTTTTAACCATTCGGCCAATTTAGTCCCTGTGTTTTTAATTTGGCTAATTTAGTCCATGTGTTTACATCTGTTAGCCAATGTAGGACAATCCTTCAAATAGATGTTAAAATAGACATGTGCATAGCACATGAGTGGGCATAAAGGTATTTTAACACAAACTCAGTTGCTGAAACACTTCTTTTCCTTGGCGTTCATGAGAATTGGGGTTTTCAAATTTAATTAGTTCCCTTGAATATTAACCAGTTCACGTGAGTCTGCATAAAGAGAGGAACAACACCACTTACAAAGGAAAGGAAAAAAGCTTTTATCTTCTTGATTGGGTAACATGATTCTACTGCTTCCTTATTTAAAGTTAAATTTAATCTGATACTGTTGATCTCTATTCTATGTTTGTGGCTGAGAGAAAGTGACTGATACTGCAATAGATTTAATGATGATCCAAAATCAAGTCTGGCTTCATTTGACATTATCTTTCTCTGACAATATATGTAAGATCAGTGAAATTATTTGTAAAGATCGACAAATTATCTCTGACAATATATGTTTCTAGGCACAACTACTAAAAGGGCAAGGGAATTTGATGGACCTAGTAGATCCAAGGTTGGGCTCAGACTTCAACAAAGAAGAGATGATGTTTACAATCAATGTGGCTCTCCTCTGCTGCAATGTCACTTCAATAGTTAGGCCTACCATGTCTTCAGTTGTGAGCATGCTTGAAGGCAGGGCTGCTGTTCAGGAATTGGTCTCAGATCCAAATGCGTCAACTAATGAGATCGAAGCAATGAGGAAACATTTTGAATCCAGTTTCGGAAGGAAAACTGGTGAGAGCCAGACACAAACCGCGTCAACTGAAGGGCCTTGGACTAGTTCATCTACATCCGCTCATGATCTCTATCCAGTCAATCCTGATTCAACTTACTGGGACAATAGAAATGGAACCTTTTGGGCCTTCATGTATTGGATATGGAACCTTTCTTCCTTAATGATGTTCTTGTTGCTGATGCTAGCAGTACCCCTAATTCAATGTTGATTCCTATATAGTTTGTTTGGTTTTGGGTGTTTGGTCCCGTATTGTACCAAAAAAAGAGAGAAGGAATTTAGAGATCTCAAAACCAAAACCAGGGTCCACCAAGCTTGGTTTGTTAAGTTTAGAAAAGAAAAGAAAAGTTGCATGAAACGTCCACTGTACAAAAACTAACACGATTGGTGGGCATTGAAGGTCATCCTTGGCTTAGCTTGGCTTGTCAAGAGTGCTCTGTTTATATGACAGTGATGACTGGTATTTGGTATTGTGTTAGGTACTTAATTTGTTACAGAAACAACTTTAATAAAATCAAAGAAAAAGCAAATTTATTCTTGACAAAAAAATCCATTCTTCCCAAGTACATCCCCATCAGTACCAAAGAAAAAGCAAATCCATTATTGACAACTACATCAAGATCACAAAAAACTAGTTTGAGTTTCAATGTATATGTACCAAAAAGCAATTCCATGCCTTAATTCCAAACTAACAAAATAAAATTGAATCTGCACCAAAGACAAGTACTACATGGTCTTCTCTTCACAAAATAACTTTGTTTCAACTGCCCAAAAATACCAAAACAGTTCAAAATACAATCAAATATGCTTTTTTTGTGAACTTGTAGTTGCTTTTTTTGTACAAGCAACTTTGCCAGGTGGTTTCCATGGCTTTGAAGTTTGAAATGAACTTTGTGGTGTGGTGTGCATGCTAGGCCTAGACATATGAGAGTATGAGGCTGCTTGTGGCATTAGAGGCTTGGCTTGCAAAGAAGTTGGGACTGTAGTTGTACTTGTCAGATTTGGTGTGTTGAAAGTGACCCCTCTAGGCCTGGACATATTAGACTTTGGGGCTGTTTGTAGCATCGAAGTCCTAGCTTGCAAAGAATGAGTTACAACTGGCCTTGTCGCTATTTGACTTGCAATTGGGATCCTTGGCGCATTTGGTGTAATGAAAGTACCCCCTCTAAAACCCGTGGTGATGGTTGGTTGTACAATTTCCTGAGGTGGATGAAACTGCAATAAGCAACTATTAGAATATATGCATAGGTTGAGAGTTGTTTTAATAAAATGAAGCATGAAGTGTAACAGAAATCTTACATTGGCAGGATTAAAGTATCTAGGTTGGGATTTGTTCATTGTTACCTTATGTGTTTTTGTAGCTTTCTTCAACTACCACAAGTAAAAACAACATAGAAGGAAACATTAAAACATGAAAATTGGAAATCATTACTATTATTTTTAAAAAGTAACAAATATATTATTTCTTACTGGCAATTTAGGTGGTCTTGTATTCTTCTTAAGACCATGTCTTGATGGCTCTCCAGGTACATCCCCTTGCGGCACAAAGAATCCACCACGACTTTGTTGTACATTAGAGCTATGAGTTGGAGGAGTTTGGTTTTCTCCAAAACTTCCATTGCTGTTGTCCATTTCATTGTTCCTCACACCCCCACGATGGCTGCCATCTTGAAATTTATAAGCCCACCTTTTGTCAACATAAACACCACTTGGAGCTTCTCGAGGTTGATTTTTGCATGTTGTTCTATTGTGGGCCTCTCTCCCAACACTTTGTACATGTTTTAGTACACTTTGTACTCAGCAACCGCATAAGCAATGGGGTACATATTATCATTTGCATCAATACCCACGGCCACAAGTAATTGCCCTGTCATTATATTGAATTACTATGTAAAGAAATAAATATATACCTTGAAATGTTCAATGTACTAAAAATAAAAGTACTAAAAAGTACTAAAAATATTTACCTTGAAATGTTCCCTTTAGGTGACAGGCGTCAACACCTAATAAAGGTCTACAGCCTGCTATAAGCCCCTTTTTGCATGCGTCCAAACACACATAAAGCCTTTGAAAATGAGGAGGATCCACCTTCATCAAGATACTGCTACCGTTATTAGTCTGTCTAATCTCTTCACAATACTCCCATAACTTTTCGTATTGTTGAGCATAAGTTCCCTCAATCAAAGTTTAAGCCTTCCTCTTAGCTTTATAACATTGATCTGTAGAAACTTCATATCCCAATTCTCTATGAACCTCTGATTGAAGCGTTGTCTTTTTAATCTTAGGATCATCTTTAATCCTACTCATATACCTTTGAGAAAGGAAAGTTGAAGTGATGTTTTTGTTATGGAAACCTTTGGAACATGAATGCTTAGGAGTGTAGCTCTTAATTTGATAAGTGTTTTCTCCCTGCATCAAAGAAGCATACAACCTCCACTTACAACCTTCCTTGCACTTAGCAGACAACCTGAACTTATCATTTTTCACTACCTTGCATTCATATGACCCTAATGCTCCATAAATTTGTATAGCCTGTTTCAAGACCTTTTTACTTGGAAATTTCATCCCAACATCGAACTGTGGGTTGTCCATATCAGTATCAAGATTAAACTCTTTGTACCTACGAGTATTTCCTTCTTCATCAGAGTTTGATGCTGAATGTAACTCATCTGAATTATATTGCTTTTCATCCATGTTCATATTCTCAACCTGTATATCTGCCTCCCAATTGTTTTTTTGTTTCTTACCACATCCAATGAAAGTCTCTAGTGTATCCACTGCATCATCATAGAAATTATCATCGTCCAACATGGCATCATTGTCCTCATCATAAAATTCAAAATCAGAATTATTACCATTAAAGCATCATCGTCCAATATGGCATCATTGTCCATTACTTTTATCACTAGAAGGTACATGCTTTGTCCTTTTTTCTTTGGTTAAAGCAGCAAAACAAACAAGCAAGACCAATAGTTAACAAGCAAAGCAGCAAAACAAACAAGCATCAAAACAAGAAATCAAGAAAGCGAAAAAATAGTTAACAAGCAAGACCTGTGTACCAACAAAGAGTCACTGAAACGAACTTTACACTGAAGGAAAACAAGCATAGGGTCCAAACTCGAGAATACTCACCTGGGTTGATTGAGCCTCTATCAGATTCGATTCGTCTCCTTGCCATCTTTATTCGGACTCAAGTGAAGTGATTGATATTCAAAGGAACTGATTGAATTTGAAACCCCAATTCTCATGAACGCAGACTACGGCAGTTGCCATTGGCGCCAAGGAATAGAGTCGCCAGGGTTTTGGTTTGTGTTAAAATACCTTTATGCCCACTCATATGCTATGCACATGTCTATTTTAACATCTATTTGACGGATTGTCCTACATTGGCTAACAGATGTAAACACATGGACTAAATTAGCCAAATTAAAAACACATGGACTAAATTGGCCGAATGGGTAAAACACAGGGACCATTTTGACATTTAAGCCTTTTTCTTTTAACATGAAAAAGTGTGAATTTATCATATTATCCTCATTTAATTAATAATTTTAATTCTTAATATTTGGATTAATGAAGGGCATTTTATGGTATTTTGAATGTTTCACCATTCTCTGCCTTTTGCTTTATATATATAGATGACAATGTGTGGGATTTTGAATGTTTAACTTTTTTTAAAATTATGTCTATTATTATTTGCAGATTTCTTTCTTTTCCCCTAAGTCCACCATTCCATATAAAGTGTAATTTTATTAACAAAAAAAATTAATATTTTTAATGACCAACCAAACAATTAATACTAGAAACTAGTTCCAAATTCCTCATTGTAAATCATTCCATCCAAAGGGACCAAAATTTGTTACATAACCATAATGTCATCCAAAGGGACCTCGACCAATTTCCTTACTAGAGCTTTGCTTCTCAAGTTCATCAGGGATTGAATTGCCAGCTCCGAACATGTTGCCAACTTTTTACCCAAAAAAAAAAAAAAAAAAAAAACTTGTTGCCAGGTGCAATTTGCAACAACAGGGGCATCAGAGGCTTCAAGATCAGCTCTTATTCCTTCACCACCATTTCAATAAATAATGTGACTCAAAGAAAAACTGGGCTGTATTGTTCTTGTCCCGCCCAAACTAGGTCCAATCAATCCTTGGTAAATACTGCTCGGATTGTTGGGTAACCCAAACGGGTCCAACTAATCCGAAGCTGATGGCCTGTGACCCAGCCCAGTTTTTGGTACGAAAGTCTCGGCCAACTATAACACCTCTTTTTTGGTAAGAAGGCAAGAATTTCAAGAATTTAAATCAACTCATAAACGCTGGAAAAGTTGGTAAGACCCAGAAGCTTGTACACCGGAATGGTAGACCCCAAGGCCGAGCCAATACGCGTAGCCATTGATCGGAGTAAGATCGTACACATTCAGATAAACCGGCACTTTCCCAATCTTCTTCTTCCTGGGCAACAACCAACACCATCCTACACAGCATTTTGCGCCGGCTCTATAAGCTTACCATAGAACCGGCTTCAGAAGAGTGCACCCTTATCAATACCATTCGATTAGGGTAGGGGTTCCCGTTTCTCTCAATTTTTTCCGTCGACTCCATCTCCTCTCTCATTTTCTCTGTCGTCGACTCCATCTCCTCCTCTTCTCTCAGCCATCGTCGCAGGCCAGCTTTTCAGCCTTCTTTTCTTCTCTCTTCCTGAACATCGTCGCAAGTCTATATCCTGAACGTTCCTTTTCTCTCTCTCTCTCTCTCTCTCTCTCTCTCTCTCTCTCATCCCAGTCTCCTTCTCTCACGGGGTATCTGGCCTTCGCGAGTGCCTTCAGAAACATAGCCTTTTTCTTCCAAAACAGACATTACGCGTCTGAGACACTTCCCAAGTCGCCCATGGAAGCTAACATCCTCAGAATCCTCAGAAACGAGGAAGAGTACCAGTCCAAGTATGCGCCTCCTCAACAGGTCCGTCATCATCCTCCTAATTTTTGTTTCAGTTTGTTTTCCTTTTAATTTGAGTGCTGCTAAATGAACCCTAAAATTAACTGAGTACATCCTACTACCAAAGTATTTATTGAATTACTAATTTACCCTAATATAAAATGACCAAATATGATATATTGAATAGTGAAACAAATATAATTTTAATAAGTACACCCTACTCATCATATTCAACCCTAATCAAACATAGAGAAGTTTTCGTATTGATTGGTGCCCACGACAAAATCTTATGTTTTTTGGAGGAGAGAGAATTTACACTCCCAACATTTTAGATATATGTGGGAGCTTCACCAAGACCACAAATCGGGGAGACAAACATTTCCAAATACTAGAGGTGGCATGCATATGAAATGCGGCTGTATGTTATTCAATCTTTTTAGCTGAAATATTCTGTATGGTCAGAATCATCAGATAATGGGCTCATATTGGCTTGGCAATTTCATTTTATCGAGATTTTAATGGATATAATTCTGGAGATTCTTATTTCAAATCCAGAAATGAACAATAGATAACAGATCCTTACAATGGAGATGGAATGCCAACGATTGTGCATTAATATAAGTTGATATTAGGATTGGTAAAAAGAGAAAGTTGAAAAGAGAGCATGAATTCATGTAAAAAGTGAAACCTGGTTTTAGGATTGGTATTGGGGTTTTGTGTGATATAGTGCATTAGGGTGTACTAGGGGTATTTTTGGTGGTTAAATAAGGTGTACTTAGTTAATTTTACATTTTAATTAAAATATTATGGTGTATTTAGATCATAGAGTGTACTCAGTTAATTTTAGGGTTCGTTTAGCAGCACTCTTTAATTTTTGCTCTGTTTGGATTCCAAGAAAATGCAACTATTTTTATTAGCTTGATTGAGTGGGTCTTTGTGATTTCTCATTTTCGATTTAAGTGTATTCATATTTGACATTTTGAAGTGTTGATTGTAATCCGTATTCCTATTTTGTGCTGGAAATAATAACAATTGATAACAGCCTCCCTCGAAATTCAATTCATTTACGGTGCAAGATCGGCCAGTTGAGCTGTGGATGACAGTGAGTGGGAAATTTGGAGACACGGAAGATATTAAAATTGAAGTTACTATGTTTGATGGGTATGAAACTGTTCCCAAGACTGGAGAGTACAGTTCTGGGATGACGTGTGTCTTCACCTCAGCATGCTTGTTGATATTTCCGGGGGGATGGCTCCAATGATCTGGAGTTTCTGTGCTCGGCCTGGCCAGATCGTCTAGAGGTTCAGAAAGTTTATGTTCTTCATCATGATAGAATGCCTGCTAAGCTGTATATGGGACCTGATTTCAGGTATGTCTTCCACATTCTATTTTGTTTTAGATTGTAAATCCACTGTTTAAGTTTTTCCAGCAAGTGTATGAAGAGAACGATTCAAAAGAGGTTTATTGACTAAGGGTTGTGAATGATAACATTTCTGTTTCTTGCATCAATATATGACGAACAAGGATAGAATAGAACTTATCAAATTGTTGGGGAAGGTCATGTCGTTTCTGGAAAAATGGAATGGTACATGTCTGTTGCCTCCCTCAGATTTAGATTTGTGGTCATTCATTTATTCTTCTTCCTTGAAGACAGTTGCCATTGATTAGAAGTAAGGTTCTGCCTAAGTTAATCATGTGCATGCTTTATATTATTTGAAAGCATGCCTTCAAAATCAGGTCAGTAACTCTGTCTGTCTTATAGCCACAAGTGATTGTTTAGCAGAAACTGGACTTTTGCCGGGATTAATGATGGGCTGTTCTAGAATTGTCAAGACATTTCATTATTTCTCCTCCCAATCCAACAAGAACTTTGAGAACAGGCTGCAATAAGAAATAGCATCCATTTCACCATCAATCATCCCTGTCATGACCTCGACCAATTTCCTTACTGGAGCTTTGCTTCTCAAGTTCATCGGGGATTGAATTGCCAGCTTCGAACATGTTGCAAGTTTTTTACCAGAAAAAAAAACATGTTCTCAGGTGCAACTTGCAACAACAGGGGCGTCAGAGGCTTCAAGATCAGCTCTGATTTCGTCACCACCTATCTCACTTGCAGGTGTTGCAATCTTCAAAATGTTTACAAATCTCTATGTAACTCATGAATTTCCATTGCACTTGATATATCTAGAAAGGTTCATTGACTCAGCACACTTGAAGGCTGATTTTCTGTCTGAAATGATGATGACTTGAGCGATGCCACGTGTGAACATATTTGGTCTGTTCCTACAAGTCCAAATTAGAATCAACAAATTAATCGTAATAGGAGTCTAAATGAACCTTTGAGAAAGGCGTTTACCACGAATTATACAGCTAACCTAATCCTTGTTCAAGTCCAGGAAAGATTTAATTAAGCATCCAACAGAAATGAAGCAAAAGGACAATAAATGAAAATAAATTACCCAGAAAAAACAGTCTATCTCAATTGAGTGGTCAAAACAATAACAAACCAGTGACATGACAATAATAACCAGTGGATCAACAGACAAAACAGTAATAACACATAAGACAAGATGATACTTGATGACTTACGATAAGAGGCACTTCCAGCATCCAACAGAACCATGTTTAAGACTCTTGAAAAATCCATTGGCTCATAAGACAATTGAAGGTCCATTTTCAGTCTGAAATGCTGATGACGTGACGCATGCAATGTATGAATCTGCTTAGTCTGATCCTACCAATCCAAATTGGAAGTTGATGTTAATAGGATTTTAAATGAATAAGCAACAAAAAAGTTAGTTATTTACATCTTGCTGACAAATTAATCTATGAACCCTCTCCGCCACACCCCTCTCCTTTCAAATCATCAAAGAACCTCCTATCCCTATCCAACAAAACAACGAAGTAAACTGTCATTACATCACATCTTCCCAAAACCATATAGCCCCAAAAGTTTAAGCTTCACACACAACAATGCATTACAGGACGCAGGGTTAAACCAGCTGAATTTTACCTCCTTAACCAGCTGCAACCATATACATAAAGCTACGCAATTAGTATAAATTCCTCCATTGTTGAGAAAGAAAGGGATTTTAAAATAGTATGAAATAAGTTGGCTCCCATCCGTAGTTTCTTATTCTGTGTGGCTGACTCCTTTAACAGTACAAAAACAATAAGAGAATAATTAATTACATAATACAATCAAAAAGATCCTTATTGGTTAATTTGTGGGTTTGATCCTCACCTTCCAGCTTGCATCGCAAAGCTTCAGTGTCAATCTCATCCAGTAAGTCCTCTGCATCCAAGACAGCATGCTTGAGCTTGTTAAGCCACTCTCTCACAGCTGGGTTCACAATTTGCATCTCCTCTGCATCATTGAGCATCGCGAACAAAATCAACACTGTCGTCTTCAGGTTCATGAGGAGTGGTTCATCGAGTTTCTTCTGCCGAAATAAGTCGATGAACTAGGCTGAAGTAACTCTGTCACACAACACCTCAATAGAAGCAGAGATGAGAGCCTCTCCGATCAAAGCTGCTGCCATTTTTCTCTGCTTTGGAAGGGGATTTGGATGAAGTGATATTCCAAGGTTTGCAGAACTTTGAAATACAGGTTTGTAAGCAAGTATGAAAGCTTTTTGATATTGTAAATAACATGAACTTGTAATTAAGCTTTGAAAACTCTCTTTCACTTTGAAGGACTGTTCTTTGTGGGACAACTTTTGAAACCTTTTCTGTGCACTCAAATCGTGGAACTGTGGCCACCGATGTTAATATGCAAAGTGGGATGCAATAATATAGCTTACACTGGCCAAAATGGTACAATATGCTATCAACTTTTTTTTCTTTTTCTTTTTGGTCGGACAAAGATGCTATCATATACCACCAGCAAATTCCAATTTTAAATGTTAGCAGAATTTGAAAAGGACTTAATGCTCATGGAGCTATTATAATTGTGGCTGAAAAAATGGTGTAATAGTGGGGCTGAAGTGGAAGAACAAGGGATGAGCAAAGCAGGGGAGAGGAAGATGCTCTCAATTTTATTTTAATTTTCATCTGTATTTGATCATAGTTAGATGACTACACAAATTTCCAACTAGTAGCAAGCACCATATTAACTCATTAACAGCGTATACAATATATAATATATTTATAAAAAAAAATTCTCTCATTTACATGTTCAAGTTACTACATAAATCATATTTCTCAAGAATAAAATGCTAAAATACCTGATTTTCTTGAACTTGAAGCGCGGCACCCTTTGTTTCAAATAGTTGCAGAACACGCCGCTTAAGACAAGAAAGCATACCATTTCTCTTTATCAAATCAGCTCACAGAAAATGGTTGCTGTGTATCACTTGGCACCTCTCTCTCCACTTGCCCAAGATCGACAAACTATGAAAGATGTAAGAATGAGCAATTTAAGGAGATGCAAGCTTTCCCAGTTATTACTGATATTTAAAAATAAAAATAATAGGTTTGAAGAGCAGAGTTACTCGATGATGACTTTCTTACCTCTTTGCAGAGTCTTTGATCCTACAAAATAATTGCAACACAGCCACTTATAAGAAGCATTTCTACCCTCCAGTAGAAAATTTCAAACAGAAAAATGTTTACAAATCCTTATGTAACTCATCAATTTCCATTACACTTGAGATATCTAGAAAGGTTCATTGACTCAGCAAACATTTGAAGGCTGATTTTCTGTCCCAAATGATGATGAGTTGAGCAATGCCACGTATGAACATGTTTGGTCTGTTCCTACGAGTCCAATTTAGAATCAACAAATTAATTGTAATAGGAGTATACTTTATAATTTTGGTGATAATAAATTCTACACGAACCTTAGAATAATGCTGGTTTTAATCAATGTAGACAGTTGTGTATATAAAACCGCAAATTATACAGCTAACCTAACCCTTGTTCAAGTCCAGGACAGATTTAATTAAGAATCCAAACAGAAATGAAGCAATGGACAGGAAATGAAAATAAATAACCCAGACAAAACAATCATTAACAGAAATAAAGCAAAGGACAGGAGATGAAGCTACTAGGGAATGAAGCAGCAGATGGACCAGACGATTAGTATAAATTCCTCCATTGTTGAAAAAGAAACGGATGAATGATCACTTTTGAAAAATTGTATGAAATAAGAGGCCCCCTTTTTTATTTTGTGTGGCTGACTCCTTTTATCAGTACAAAAACAATAAGAGAAATAATTAATTACATAATACAGTCATACAGGTCCCAGCTGATATATGCAAACTACTTTTGATTATCAGAAATTTTAAATTCTGTATTTTTGTCCCCCCCTCCCCCCGACCCATCGCTGTTATTAAACAGTTATGATGAGGCAAAAGAATGAAACGAAAACAAATGTTAGAAAGTAAACCTCCAGATCACCTGAAAGATCTAAATGCAACTTTCCATTTGTCAAGCGATGTTTGTGATCAGAATTACAAGAGCATAACATAACTACACAAGCTTCAAGCTGGTAACAGAATAGAAAAGATGAGACAGCATGCCAATGGGGAAGGAAAAGCGGATGCGAGTTTGTGCCGTGCCACCTATGTCAAAGTAGGCTTCTGCAGTTCAAGATAAGCAAAACCTGCTTTCATTAGAGGAAACGAAAACATTACAAAACAGGGGACAAGTTATCTACTGGATAAGCTAGACTACTCATAAGCATCCTAACATTACAGGAACAAAACATAAAATACATGCAGCAGCACTCCACTAGTAACATAAATGAATTCTAAAAACAGATTGTGGTTGAAGACTGACTGCGACATTAACATATAAAAGCATTCATCTCCTGTCTTATAAAAGCATTTTTTTTTTCTCATGTCTAATAAAAAACCAAGGCTTAACAAAGAAAATATAAAAATTAGACAAACAGGGCTGAAACAAGCATAATTCACTAAGAAGATTTTGTAATTCCTCAATGTTCTCTCTCCTCCACCTAAGACCACCTGTTGATACTAAGATAATATACATGCAGTACTTAGGAAAGTACAACTTAAGCTAACCAGGTGAACTCTAAACCCTAATAATATACTGAGTTTTATCTTACAACTTGAGCTCACAGGTTATCCATAGACATTGAATACAATTTAAACTAGCTCATATGAGACTCAAGTACATTTTTATTACAAAAATAGTACCTCAAAATGTTGTGCATTCAATGCCTGTATTTGGGAATGTATCAGTTGAGATATTCCAGGTGAACCTTTACCTTTCTATTTCTCCACGTTGCGACAATTGTTCCGTAGAAAGACAAAGAGCTATTAAATAGTATACCCTCCTCTGGAAATGACACATAATGAAACCTTGCAAATGAATAGCTCTCCAAGAGAAGATATGTTGTCCTGCAAAAAGACTGCTAATTATTCAGCATTTGAGATTTAAATAGGATATAAGTTGTGATCAGCAGAACAAGCGCAATGAGAAATAAAGCAAATTTAACCAGAATTTACTGAGCAAAATAATAATAGAAATCAGATAGAGTGTTTGTGTTAAGTACTTTGTATGTGAGCGAGAGGGAGAGAGAGCTCATATCTTATGATCACTTCTTGGCCTATCTTGATGCAAGGAATGTTAGATACCTTTTCTACACGGCAAAACAATGGTTGATGCACAGATAAGAAAGAGATGGCAGCAAACGCTCTTCTGGCAAGAATTGGATACTGTCACACCCACAAATATGTAGCCTTTGCAGCGAAGAGAGGCGTTCAAGTTCCTCTCCTGGCAGGAATTATAGACTGAAAGGCCGTAATATATAGAGTGCGAAGAGTGGTATTGAGCAGCTGTTCCTTGAGAAACGTCTACAAGATATTGTCACCAAGTCTTTGCAAACCCCAGTAATCTCCCACTGAAGGGCTCAGTCTGTCACAATTCAAAATACGAAAATATTGCAGGCTGGGAGGCAAATGACACAAGATTTTGAAGATCATATATCCCCAAATGTCGAATGCTGTGAGGGTGCCAAAGCGTTTGGCAATGACTTCAATCTATGATTTTGATCAGATGCGTCAAATTATTAGAAATTTGGAGATTTAATTTGGGCAATGTCCAACATGTATTTGGATTTTTGGAAGAGAAAGAGAATATGTGTTTTGGTTTTTGTATTCAATTTGAAAAAGAGAAGCTTTTTTTTTAAGTAAGAGAGTTGAGGGTTGAGAGTGAAATATGGAATAGCTCATATTATATGATCACTTCCTTGCCTATCTGGATGCAAGGAATGTGAGATATCTTGGCCCAATCTTGTCCCGTCTTATTCTTATACCTTTCCTCCAGGGCAGAACATTCGTTGATATACAGATGAGAAAGAGACGGCGGCAAACCCTCTTCTGGCAGGCATTGGAGACTGTCACATCTCCAAATGTATAGTTTTTGAAGAGAAGTGAGGTGTTGAAGTTCCTCTCCTGGCAGGAATTCCAGAGTTGGACAGTTGCGAATTTCTAGCACTTGAAGAGAAGTGAGGTGTCCAAGACGCTTTCCGTCCAAAGATTTCAGAGTTGAAGAGATGCAGAGAGTGTGAAGAGTGGTAGGGAGCAGCTGTTCCTTGAGCAACGTCTCCAAGACATGGTCACTTCCACTAATATCAAATTGTTCAAGGGAGACAAGTGCTTGCAAACCCCAGTACTCTCCCAGTGATGAAGCCCTCAGTCTCTCACAATTCCCAATGGAAAAATATCTGAGGTTGGGAGGCAAACCCTCATCTTCTGCAGATGACTCCAGATTCGGAAGATTCCACATCGACAAATATCGAAGGGCTGTGAGGGTGTGAAGGCGTTCGGGCAGTGACTTCAAATTCTTGCATCCACCGACATCAAAGTGACTCAGGTTGGGAGTGGGCAATTCTCCCTCGTGAAAACACACCATTTTTGGACATTTATAGACACGCAAGTAATTGAGATGGCTGAGATTCTCAACAGCTCCTTCTTCTTCAATCAAGGAAAGGGATTCCAGATTCTCACAATCACAAATGTCAAGCGTCGTCAATTTGGGAAAACTGCCCAACGGGAAGGACCTCATTGAATCACAGCTATTCTCTATCCACAAATAGTCAAGCGAGGTTAATTTGGCCAACATCTCATAAGGTAGGAATTCTAATCTCCTACAATTGTATATAGAGAGCCATGTCAACGTAGTGGCTAGGCCATCTTTAGGGAATGACGACAGCATTGGACAATTCGAAAGAATCAAACGTTGAAGACGATTGCAATTGGGCAAGCATTGTACATCATCAACATTTTGAATCTTAAGTAGGGACAGCAGCTTTGTCTCTAATAATGATAACAGAGTTTGGCATCCACCAGTTATTTCCAATTCTTCAAGAGATTTATAGTTAAGACTATTGGTAGTTGTGGTAGTGGCCCTTCCATCATGTAAAACATCACACCCACACACCGTAAGCTTCTTTAAGCAAGGCAGCTCACAAGGCAAACTTGCTCTCAGCTTTGGACACTTGTTTAGAATCAGCTCCTGGAGACGAGGAAAGTCTGGACCATATTCACCTCCACTTGGTACCCATTCCTCCCACTCTGGCATCTCCCTAAACTCCAGCCTCACCAGAGATTGAAATGGTGGAATGAGAGAAGCTCCATTTCTACCATAGAACTCAACACCAATGGTCTTAACAAATTTCATGCTTTCTATACAGAGCTCTTTGAGACCAGGTAGCCGCCCAAATGCTGGCAGCAACCAACAATATTTACAATCACTGAGACGCATGACTTGTATGTTAGAGAAAGACGAGTCTCCTAACCAGTTCGGAAAATTTGTTCCACCATAGAATCTGATGGTTAATTTCTCCAAATTCACGCAAGGCTGGAGCTTGTCGAGTACATCTCTCTCCTTTTGGGAATCATCAACATTATTCGCACCCCATGAAAACTCTAATTCCTTGAGATCTTTCTTGTGCTTCATATTGGCTTGCAGTGCATCCCTTGCATCAACTACATTTTGTAGCTTCAAAATTGATAGTTTTCCTCCAAGCTGCAGCAACTCCCTCAATTCTCCTATCCTTGACCCAGTAGATTTGCCCACAACAAAAGCAGTCAATGTTCTCAAACTTTTCAGTCTACCCATTTGCACCGGCATCTCTTCAATTTTAGTTCCACTCACATCAAGATGATGCAAATTAATCAACTCCTTCATGCTTGTAGGCAATTTAATAAGAGAGCTACAACCTCCCAACATCAATTTCTGTAAATTAATCAATTTTCTAATGTCTGCAGGCAATTCAAGGAGAGAGGAACAATTTGACAATAGTAATGTCTGCAAGTTGTAGAGATTGCAAAGTACCCCAGGTAACCTTTCAATTGCGGTATGGGAAAGATCCAAGTAGCGCAAGTGAATGAGGTTTGCAATAGAATCAGGTAACTCAGTGACATTTTGATAACGTGACAATGATAACACCCGTAAACATCTTAGTGATGGCAACAAATCTTGTAGAACTTTTTTACTTACAAATACCTTCACGGGATACCCCACCTTCAAGCCTAAGGCAAAACCCCCGAGACATGAACATAGCCAATTCATTAATGAGATCATGCATAATGAAGCTGAATTTCCTTGACTTTTGAAACAACGATCGTGAGAATAGCTCATCAAAGTATCTTCTAGCCAATGCTTCCATCCTTTTTCCATTCTCAGCTTGTGGAATTATACCTTCTGCAATCCATAATTGAACTATATCTTCCTTTTCAAACTCATAATCCTTTGGAAAAATTGAACAGTAAGCAAAGCATCGTTTCAATTGAGCAGGAAGATAATGGTAACTCAACCCTAGAGCCGGAAGAATGTTAGTTGTATCATAGGGTTGGTCCCAAAAACTGTCATTTAGTATTCTATTCCAGTACTCAAAATCTTGGGATGCAATATAATATTGTATAGCTAAAACACAATAGTCTTTCGGTGGCCTCACATGGGGATGGGGTCGTCTGTATACGCAAAGTTGGACGCAAAAGCTTTTGAATAATAACGCAATTTCAAAAGGTTCTAATTGCAGTGAACACAAGGATAAACGATTAATTAATTCATCCACTCAAGACTGTCCTCCACTCAAGTATTAATTAATTTGTTACTTTATGTAATCAGCTATAGCAGCAAAGCCTCCAAATCCAGATCGATGCCCTTGGTTTCGATTTCACTTGATTTAAGTAGCAGACGACTTCTATCCTATTTGCAAATTTACGTATTTGGTTTGTACAAATTTTCCAATTTCAATTGTAAGCCTCCCTCTTGTAGAAATTCATTCTTCGATTTTGGGTTAATTCTATTTTTTTGTTTTATCAGATCTAAAATCTTGATTAAATAACAAGATAGAGGACAATTGTGGTTTTGTGTATTCTACGTCTTTAGCTTTGAGAAAGTTGATTCCTTGCATTCTTCGAAATTATATCAATTCCTTATATTCGAAATTGAGGGGGGTGTATTCAATTAGGATTTTAAAAGACTATTTTGGGATAAATAAGTCTTGTGGTATTCTATTATGACTTTTAAATAATCTAAACAAGTCTTGTGGTATTCAATAAGGACTATTAGGATTTTTTAAAGAGGGTGTCCAAATCTAGTGGTATTCAATCAAGACTTTAAACAAGTAATAAAAAGTCTTTTGGTATTCAAAACCTTACTAATTTTGAAGGATTTTTTTTAAATATGGAATTGGTGTGACTTTTTAGTGGGAGGTATAAATACCAAACCCTATAAAAAATCTCACCCTAACCCATCAGACTTTTCACGTGAGATTTTTTTCAGCTCTTCGTGAACAAGGTATTGCTTCCTTCTCGTGCTATGTCTTCTTGCATTTATTGTCTGTATATTTGTTCATGTATATGTTTTGTGTCTATGGCCCTTCGTGGGTTTGCTGCTACCTTTTCCATGCTTCATGGGTCTGTGTCTGTGGCCCTTCGTAACAATTGCTACTACCTATTGCATGAACAGAACAGGTCTTGTCAACCCAGTTAGAATACTATTGTTTATATGTGGCGTCTTTTGTTTATATGGCATCTTTGCTGCTACAATTGCTTTTGTCTTTTGGAAAATTTTGGTATTCGTTTTCTATATCTTTATCGAGGACCAAGAGATTGACTTATTCCATTAATCATGCTAACATCTTGCAGTGATGGTTGCTTGTTTTGAAAAATCAACTGGGAATGAATAGATAATGGAACCATAAAACTTGATACATGTGGACATACACTTGCCGATCAAAGCCATGTCTTTTCTCTTCTCTGCAGACTGCAAGGGATTTGGATGAAGTAAAATATTCCAAGATTTGCAAGTAGCAAGGCTAGCACAACTTGGAAATACAGGTTTTGTAAACAAGTATGGAAGCTTTTTGAGACGGTAAATAACATGAACTTGTAATCTTGACCTTGGAAAACCCTCTCTTTCAAGAAATAACTAATAAATTTCTTACATATGTTGTAGTAGTAATTTAATGGGGGATTCACAACAAGGAAATAACAAAGGAAAAGGCAAAGAGAAAGAGAACTATGAATCTTGGACCATGGACGATACCAATAAGTTGTTGCACCTCTTGGTGGATTCTATCAATAGTGGATTGCGTGATGCTAATGGGTCACTTAGCAAGCAAAATGTAGAAAGAGTGATACTTCCTCGTCTTAATGAGAAAATTAAGTTCCCAAAAACTTATAATAATTACTTGAGCCGGAATGAGTTTAAGAAGCAATATAACAAGATGTCTACGCTTATGCGTAACAACTCTGGCTTTGGGTGGGACCCAATTGCAAAGACGTTCACTGCTAGTAGTGATGAAGTATGGAAAGATTACTTGAAGGTGAGCTTAGTTCATAATCTTTTAAATATATTAATAGCTTACTAGTTTAGTGTTGGAATTTTAAAAGGTTTTAAAAATTTAACCGTTTAATTATTTAATTATTTTTCTGTTTTATTTTATTTATTGTGGGGGTTATAAATATTTTATATTTAGCTTTTATTTCTGGTTGGTGAATGCCTTAATATTTTGGTTGGTAAACTTTTATGGTTGGTGTAGGTTACATGTTTTTGGATGCCTATAAAAGGCTACTCCTTCTTCACATTTGAAATACACACTGTACACTATCAGAATATCACATACCACAATCACCACCATAAACTGATTCTCTCCTTTTCTACTTTTATATATATTCTCTACTTTATAATATTGTGTAGGTACAATACAACACAATAGCTTTTCATTGGGATGCAATGTGGCCTCACATGGGGATGCAATATAATAATGTGTAGGTAAAACACAATAGTCTTTCGGTGGCCTCACATGGGGATGGGGTCGTCTGTACACGCAAAGTTGGACGCAAAAGCTTTTGAATAATAACGCAATTTCAAAAGGTTCTAACTTCTAATTGCAGTGAACACAAGGATAAACGATTAATTAATTCATCCACTCAAGACTGTCCTCCACTCAAGTATTAATTAATTTGTTACTTTATGTAATCAGCTATAGCAGCAAAGCCTCCAAATCCAGATCGATGCCTTCGATTTCACTTGATTTAAGTAGCAGACGACTTCTATCCTATTTGCAAATTTACGTTTTTTTATTTTTTATTTTTGTCAAAGCAAACTGCTTTCATTAAAAAAACAAACACATTACAAGAGTTTGAAGGCTGAACATAGGCCCAAAGGATTACAAAAAAGATTTTGAATACAAACAAGGCCCACATACAAAGTTTCAAACCCAAACAACCCTAAAATTGAAATCAAGTTGCAGCCGCACCACCCGCAGCAAAGCAGCCAAACCACCATAGCAAGTCCACAGCCACCAAGAGGGAGTCTCTGGTAACATAGAGCTTCAGAAGAACGAAAGGAAAGTGGGGGTGAACAAGCCACCCGCGCAAAATGCGCTCCCATAATCCAAGTAGATAGTGCATATAGCACTTTAAAGGCATCCTCATACCCGAACGCGCCGCCAAGAAAGAATGGCGGAGGAGGCATCCGTGAACACGAGGAGCAGAGGTCAGTGGTAGAGAGGTGGCGATAAGAGACCACAGTAGACGAAGAAACCTCCATAAATGAGCAAAAAGCCCAAGCAAAATCACCACAGAGGGTGAAGCAAAATCACCACAGAGGGTGAGGAGGAAACCGTAAAAGAAAAAGGGGCAAAACCAAAAACAAGGTGGGAAGGAAGGGGGGGGAAGGAGAACGAAAAAGGAGGAAAAGGAGGGGAGGGGAGGAGGGGCAGACCACCTCCCCCCCAGGATGCGGCGCTGAAAGGTTGGGGGTAGTTTTTTCTCTCGCTTGGTTTGTCTGGTTGGATTGGATGTTAGTGTGTGCCTAAGTTGGTTCGTACAAATTTTCCAATTTCATTTGTAAGCCTCCCTCTTGTAGAAATTCATTCTTTGATTTTGGGTTAGTTCTATTTTTTTTCTTTGTACAAATCGTGATTAAAGAAAAAGAAATTCTTGATTAAATAACAAGATAGAGGATAATTGTGGGTTTGTGTATTCGACGTCTTTAGCTTTGAGAAAGTTGATTCCTTGCATTCTTCGAAATTATATTAATTCTTTATATTTGAAACAAAGTTTCCCATAACTCCACAATCAATGTTTTTTTTTTCCTGAACAAGAAGGAGAAATTTGTGTTATTGAAAAGAGTTTTTGTATTTAAACTCTGCACTTCTCTTTGTTCACCATATATTCTAAGTTCATCTTAACTTCTAATTCAAATTTTCACACTTTTTAAGAAAACCTCACTATCTTCTCAAACTACCCCTAGGGATGGCAAGGGGCCAAATCGGGTACGGGGGAGCCCCGAAAAAAAAACCCCCGACGGGTTCGGGGCGGGTATGGTAAATGTGTCCCCGTCCCCGAACCCGCCCCGAAATATATATTTTTAATTTTAATTAATATATATCTTAAAAACCTTTAAACATTTTTTGAATGGAGCAAGGGGTTTCGAACCCATGACCTCCTTCTTTAAAACTCAAGAGCTTACCAATACTCCACTAAGGGTCCTTTTGTTATAAAGAAACAATTAATTAATTTAATGGTCATGATTCCAGTTCCAGCTAACAAACATGGATTTTAAAAACAAAATTCATATGCAAATATGTATAATAATCAATAAATTCAAACAATCCAAATATAATGGAAAAAATCAAACACCATAACAAATACTGATTTTAAAAAACAAAATTCGTATGCAAACTTGTATAATCGACAAATTCAAACAATTCAAATATAACAAAAATAATCAAACGCCACAACAAATATTGATTTTATAATTTAAAAAAATAAAATTTATATGCAAACATGTATAATCAATAAATCCAAAGATAACGAAATAATCAAACATCATAACTAACATTAATTTTAAAAAATAAAATTCATATGCAAACATGTATAATCAACAAATTCAAATAATCCAAAGATAGCGAAAATAGTCAAACACCAAACATCACCTTTACATTAGACAACTACTACATATACTATCGCAACAACTGGATGATTAATGTAGATTGGTAATCAAACACTAAATAATCAAAAACCAAGTCATACATAGATTAGAACTCTTCATCAATTAGATGACTAATGTAGATTGGTAATCACATACCACTCTATGAGTACATGACGAAGGTAGACAAGAAACACAAATTACTCTCATAATTAAGGTATCCATATCCATATATGGAGGGAAGAAGAAGAACCATATCCATGTACAATTTTGGTGTTAAGATGAGAAAGAAAAAGAAGAAAAATAATGAGACTTTAACAAAATTCACAAAAATTATATGTCATTAATTCAAAAAATTGGAAAAAGTATATTTATATTTAAAAATAAAATTGGAGATGGGTTGTGTGTTTTGAACCCCTGACTTCTCAATTACAAGCCCACATGCTTACCATCAATGCACAAACAAACGTTGTGTTTTAGTGAAATATTTAAATTATTTAATACTTGCATTCCAGCTACAATAAAAAACACTAACCCTATCCCTAACAAACATCATTATCTTGCGCTTTCTCATTTTACTTTTCTTCTATCGCCGCCTTCTTTTTTCATTTGTCTTCTTTCTTCTTTCTTCTCTCTTCTTTCTTCTTTCTTCTTTCCTCTTATTCTTTCTTATTAGAATATTGGCAAATCAATCTGGTTGAGCATCCGTGCCTGGACCTCACTCTGTGTTTGTTCTTTCTTCTTCATATTGTTTCTTTTCAAAAAAAGAATAATCTGGTTGAGTGTTTGATAATACGGGCACTTTGGATTTTTTTTTTTTTTGAAACTTTCATTTGATATCGATTTTGTTATTAGATTTTGTTCGATCTTGAAATTGCTCGATCTTGAAAACCTCCACAACCTGTTCGACGATTTCAATCAGAGAGCTTCAACTTGCGTCGCTTCTCCCAATTCTTCTTCTTCTGCGAAGAAAACGACGACCATGATATCGATTTTGTTCTTAATTTGTTTCTTCTTTAGTGTTTCAGGGGTATTCGATTTTTTTTTTGGGTTCTGATTCAAGGGGCTTCGTTTGTTTCTTGGAGTTCTTGTTTATATTTTTTCCTTAAAAAATCGGGGATTCGGGGCGGGTATGGGGGATGGTCCCCCGACGGGGACGGGGCGGGGATTCCCTGAACCTTATTAAACGGGGACTGGGGCGGGGATTGGGGGCGGGTATGGGGGATGGTCCCCCGCCGGGGACGGGGCGGGGATTCCCCGAACCTTATTAAACGGGGATGGGGGCGGGGACGGGGGAGGGTTTGGGAATCGGGGTCGGGGATGGTATTGGCAAACCCGGACCATTGCCGCCCCGCTGCCATCCCTAACTACCCCTAAATACATACCTAACAGAAAATAAAAATAAAAAAACTCATCAACCCCACACCCTCACCCACACCCACACTGTGTGAGAACCTCTTTTTTAAATAAAAAAAACTAGTCTCTCCACACGCTCTTCCGCGACTGTGAGAGGCTTTTTTTTTATAAAAGTTTTAAATTTATTTTAGAATTAAAAAAGATAATGGGCAGTGTTGTATTAATAACTGACACAAATTAATGTGCAAACAACCAATTAAAAATACCCACGAGTGCACGAATCTATTGAGGTATAAATTATGTAAGTACGGGGTCGATCCCACGAAGAACTGTCGGCTTCATACAAGTTCTAATTTGAGTACGTAAAGAACACTTATTTAACACACCACACATGCACAAAACAAATTGTAAACTAAAAATGAGTAAAGAAAGGTAAAATAAAAGAAACAAAACAAGAAACCAAAGAAAAACACAAACAACACTTTCTATCACCTTTTTATCACCATTGTATCACTTGTTTATCACCTGTGAACAGTGGCTGGCAACGGGTCGTGAACAGTGATGACCGATCGTTTTCTGGCAGATTGGCTGGCGACCGGTCTCCTGAACAGTAACGACCGGTCATTTTTTGGCAGATACATTTTCTCTGTTTTTCAATTCAGCACAGAAAATGGAAGAACACATTGGGGACCAAAAGTCAAAAAAAGTTACGAAAATAAACAGAATTCAATGAAGAAAACACACAACGTTTCCAACAACACAAACACACACATTGGTGGGGTTTTGGAGTTCTTTTGAGTGACCTATTTCTAATGCTTGAATGTAAATGAACTCTAATTTAAACAAGAATGACAAGAATGAAAATCAAAAGTGAAAGTAAAATGTAACAAACACTAGGGTTTCGGAATCCACCATACACAATTCTACCAATGTTCATGGATACTCAAGTAATGAACTATAAACATATTGATGAAGATGTTCGCAATCAAGACCGAGATTAGTGACTCAAGACGCATTGATTCTCTCTAATATATGTAAAGTGCAGGGTTAGTGCTACAATACTTGTGCCTTCCCTATAACCAAATCTAGGTGTGCTTAGTACTTCGATTCAATTACAAGAAAA